GGAGAGGCTCCATCCCGGGCTCCCGGCCGCACCCTGCAAGCCGAGCGGCCGCTCTTTGCTCTCCTCCTGCTTCCCCTTGGCAGGGGCTGGGCTCAGAGCCCCGGGATGGCGGGGATGGGAGCGAGGTGCCCTGTGGTCGCTCGGTGAGGAGCAGTTGTAGGTTGAGGAGCTTTGGCCAGGAGAAGGAACTGGGCCCAGAAAGAGCCCAGTGAGACTGTGGATGACGAAGTTTGCATTGAGCAAAGTGCAGGTGCAGGCACGTCGGGCTGCCAGGGTGGGGATCGGCTGCTCTCTGGAGCCAGATCCTGCCTTAATGCTCAGCCACCTGGGAGCCCCTCAGGTTCTGCAGGCACAGGAGGGCTTGGGAGCCATTGCCCTGCCCGGGGGGGTCTGTAGTGACGCTGCTGAAAGGGCTGGACCACACATGGAGGGCAGTTCCTGCCAGAAAGCCCTCGCCTGACGCTGGTGGCTGAGGGGAAGTGGCAGGTCCCGCTGCCAGCGGGTTTCTGGGGCTCGTGGCAACGAGCTGTCGTACCACGTCAGCAAAGCCTGTGGGGCCCAGTGCGGTGCCGGGGCACCGGAATGGGCGCTCAGCGGCTCTGGCAGGGCTGGCAGCGCTCACCAACACCCTCCAGGTGTTGTCACACTCTTGGTCCCATTTTCAGCGCTGGTCAGGGATCCCGCCACTGCTGAGCACAGCGTCCCTGTGCCTCCCCCCATGAACAGAGTGCAGTTCTCCTGTTTTCTTTAAAACCCTTTTAATATAGGGGCTGTGAAAAAGAATCAGAGGGCTGGAGCCCCTCTGCTGAGAGAGTTGAGGGAGTTCAGCCTAGAGAAGAGAAGGCTCCAAGGAGACCTTAGAGCCCCTTCCAGTCCCTCAAGGGGCTCCAGGAGAGATGGGGGGGACTCTTGATCGGGGAGTGGAGCCATAGGATGAGGGGGAAGGGTTTTAAATTGGAAGAGGGGAGATTTAGATTAGATACTAGAAAGAAATTCTTTGCTGTGAGGGTGGTGAGAGCCTGGCCCAGGTTGCCCAGAGAAGCTGTGGCTGCCCCATCCCTGGAGGGGTTCAAGGCCAGGTTGGAGGGGGTTGGAGCAACCTGGTGTGGTAGGAGGTGTCCCTGCCCAGGGCAGGGGGATGGTATTCAATGATCTTTAATGATCTTCCAACACGAATCATTGTATGATTCTATGAAATATCCTTGTGCGGCAGTGTCTGCCAGAGGAAACCCACATGGCAGGGCATCGCCTGCCCCCCATGGTGGTGACACATCTCCCCTGGTGTCTTGCTCCCTGCTGGGACTGTCACCTGGGCCAGTGTCTCACGTGATGGCTGTACCTTCCCTGGCACAGGGCTGGGGCTCTCCAGCACCACAAGACCTTTATTCACAAGTTCTCCCTTTCCCCTTGGCCTTGGCTCTCCTGGGCTGCCCTGTGACAGCCGGGTGGAGGCTGTCACGCTCGGGGAGGTGCAGTTCCCTGGTAGCAACCACTGAGCCAGCCCCAGGAGCAGCCGCCGGACCAGAAAAGCTGCCCGGGTGGCTCTTGCGCAAGCTTCAGCCCCAAGTTTAGGTGCATCTCCCGGAATGGGCTGAGGCTTTTGCTTGGAAGCCACAAACGGTGGGAATCATCTGTCCCACCTGGCCCCCATGTCCTGGCCAGCCCGTGACCGGAGCCACGTGTCCCTTGGGATGCTCGTGGTGCCGGTGGGAGAGCCCAGTCTGAGACCCCGCAGCAGCCACCGGGCTCTGGAGACATCACGGGGCAGCGAATCCCCAACGTGGCCCCTCGGTGCCCCCGGAGTGACAGCGGGTTGCAGCCCTCCCGCATCCCCCTCCTGGTGCGTCCCCACCTTCACGGGGGATGATCTCAACAGAAAGACCAACGTCGGGCATTTGGAAAGACTTGCCCAAGAGCCGGGGATTGCGTCAGGCAGGATCTCGCCCTGACAGTAGCTGCCCGCAGAGCGGCTGTTGGGGGCCAGCACAGGCAGGGCCTTTGTTCGCTTTATCGGCACATCTGGGCTGGCTTCTAACCGACGGGACAGAGGGTGACAGAGGGTGACGCCTGCCCCGGGCTCCTGCGCTGACGCTCACGTCCCTGCGCCGTGGGGGACCGGGGTGGGGGATGGACACAGCTCTCGGCAGCCCCACGCCGTCGGGAGCGGGCTCTGGACTCTCGCCTGCCCCTCACCGGGGTGGGCGGCCCCTGCTCGGCGGTGGGTGCTCCGTTTGTCCCTCCACTTCCCGAGTCGCATCGTTTCCTTCAGCTGCAGCATCTGGGAAGCGTGGCAGCTCTCCTGGGACTGAGCAGGAAGGGGATCTGTGCCGCTGGCTCAGTGGGTTCCCCCTCGTACCCGGAGCTCTGTCACCATCATGAGTCCTTCAGGGCAGGAGAAGGGGCCGAGCCGTCGCCTCCGCGGCTTCTCACGCCCTGTAGGTTCTGTAAAGAGCTTTTTTCACAGCTACACTTTTCTTATCCTTAACACAAACATACCACACGCTCTGTAAACATCCGCGGGCTCTTATCACACATCGCCTCTCCTGGATTCCGTTCTCCCTCCGATGGCCTCCCTCATTCCTCTCTGCAGGAATTTTGCTTCATGCTCAGCGCAGGCAGGACAACCCGCCTGCTCCTCTGCTGGCACTTACTACCTCAGAGACCCCCCCATTTTCCCTTCCCCAGACCCTTCTCACCCCTCACACTGGGTCAGAGTGAATGGCAAGGGACGGATCTGACAACAAACACCTCCACGGGGGGTTCTTCCCTCTCCTCCTCTGGCAAGGACCATCCCAGACCCCATTTCACAGCCCAGCAAACCCAGGGATTCTGGTCTCCTCCCATCCCCGGTGTTTTCAGGAATCCCCCCGTGGAACAGAAGTTCTGCCACTTCCCACCAAAGACCCAGAAGGGGGAAGTTCCAGAAGAGAACCAGAGCGGGCAGCAGATGGTCAGTTCAAAGATTTTATTTAACTGTCATAAAAGGAGAAGCAGACGATGATTCCAAACCTGTTAACCCGGGTCTAGGATTTACAGACAATATGCACCAAATCAAATTAACAAAAAAAAAAAAAAAATCTCTCTAGGGGCGGGGCAAGGGAGAGTTAAGAGGCAAAGACGTAGCTACGAGAAAGCCACATGTACTTGGTCCCAGTTCTAATACGACCTCAACGTGGTAGGATCCAAATCGGAGAGGGCTGCGGAGCCGGGAAGTGCCTGCCCAGCCCTCGGGGGGGGGTTGGGGGGGGGTCCTGGTCCCCCGAGGGCTCCTTCGCCCCGAGCGCGGTGTCGGCGCAGCCGCGGTGGCCGGCTGGGTGTTGTGGGGGCTCTGCTGCGGGCACGGGGCAGGCGAGTGTCAAGGCAATAAATACTGACAGGCCAGGCACAGATTTTAAAGGCAGAACAGATACTATAAGGCATTAACCGCTTCTGATACTTGTCCATTGCAAGCTCTTTTGCTGATGGCATCAGGAGAGCAGCTGCGGAAACAGACCGGTCCATCCTCAGCCCAGGACAGCCAGGAGGGCAGGTGCTCCTGGGATTTCAGTGCTTTGCAGCCACCTTGGGCTGCAAGGAGAAGTGTGAGGTGATGGCAACACCGGCGACTCCCGCACCCACCGCCTCGCAGCCCCCTCTATGCCCCGGAGGCTGCCGGAGAGCTCGGAGCTCTACGCAAAGCAGGGCCGGGGGTCCTACCAGGTGGGCTCTGGGCAGCAGGAGGGGTGGCCGGGCGTCACCCAGGCTTGTCACACCACCCTCCCCTCTGGAGATGTCCCGACTCGGGTAAAGATGGGACCAGCAGCAAAGCGGGAAGTTGTGAATCTTTCCTAATAACCCATGAGGGGCGTGACCAAGAGAAGTGCCATGCCAACAAACAGGGGGGGGTGGAGGGGGGGCGGGCGGCGTTTAAAAAGTGTAACAGGGGCAGGGCCCCCTCCCTAGAGGATACGTGTTACACATTAAGGCATCATGGTTACAGGGAACATCCACAAATGAAGCTGCCAGCCTTCCCAGGACACTGACTGGGTGGGAGGGAGGGACCGGACATGAATTTTAGCCAACGAAAGGGATTCGAGAGCTGCCTGGCATCAAAGTTCCTCAGCTACTTGGAGGCAGTAGCTACCCTGAGCTGTGCACAGGAAAGCCAAGCACAGGATCCTGCGCAGAGCGTAGGAGTCTGCCCCCTTCAGCACCCACCCCGACAGAGGAAGGTGAGAAGCAGCGAAGGGCCTGGGGAGGGAGGGAAGGCTCCCCCCTCTGCGCGGGGACAGCCCGGCCCCGGGACGGGCAGCTGGAGACAGATGCAGACAGCAGGGTTTGATCAATGCGCTCAGCGATTCTCTGGGGAGGGGGCACGTTACAAAACTTGAGCTCTCTGGTCAAATCATAACAGGGGGTGAAAGGTAGGAGGAGGGTTTCCAATGTCAGCACTTTGGTACAGGGGGGGATTTCTACGGTAGCCACTGTCTGATTCACGCTCTCTGGGGTTTGGCCTCGGGAAGGGCTAGTCCTTCCAATCCTTCTTGATGGTCAGGTTCCACTCCCAGGACAGGTGGTCAGTCTTATCATCATCTGTGAACTTGGATTTGATGTTGTAGCTGCCCCGGGCCAGCATGCCCTTAGGGGCTTCTTCCATGGGGGTCAGAAACTCATACTCCTCTGCTCGGGGGCCGTAGCTCCCAACCATGTACTCGGTCTTGTCAACTAGAAGGAGAGAGAGAGGTGTGTGGAGGCTTTTTAAGAGCCTCCCCTGCATTTGGGGCAAGAGTAAGCACATGAAAGATGTGTTGCTGCTACAGCAATCCAGAGTGGAGCTGTGAGAATGAGAATGTCACCCACGTTAACAGCTCCCTTTGCTCCAGGAGCAGCTCCTCCTGCAGGGAGCAGCCCCCCCACGTTAGCACGGCCATCTGGGCTCCATCAGGGGTTACACACCAAGCACCGTGGCGTGGTGTGGGTGCAGCCACCCCAGGAGCCATCACACAGACTCAGTGAGGGGGTGAAAGGTAGGAGGAGGGTTTCCAATGTCAGCACTTTGGTACAGGGGGGGATTTCTACGGTAGCCACTGTCTGATTCACGCTCTCTGGGGTTTGGCCTCGGGAAGGGCTAGTCCTTCCAATCCTTCTTGATGGTCAGGTTCCACTCCCAGGACAGGTGGTCAGTCTTATCATCATCTGTGAACTTGGATTTGATGTTGTAGCTGCCCCGGGCCAGCATGCCCTTAGGGGCTTCTTCCATGGGGGTCAGAAACTCATACTCCTCTGCTCGGGGGCCGTAGCTCCCAACCATGTACTCGGTCTTGTCAACTAGAAGGAGAGAGAGAGGTGTGTGGAGGCTTTTTAAGAGCCTCCCCTGCATTTGGGGCAAGAGTAAGCACATGAAAGACGTGTTGCTGCTACAGCAATCCAGAGCGGAGCTGTGAGAACAAGAATGTCACCCACGTTAACAGCTCCCTTTGCTCCAGGAGCAGCTCCTCCTGCAGGGAGCAGCCCCCCCACGTTAGCACGGCCATCTGGGCTCCATCAGGGGTTACACACCAAGCACCGTGGCGTGGTGTGGGTGCAGCCACCCCAGGAGCCATCACACAGACTCAGTGGCACAGAGGTGGCTGCAGAACATCTCCTCCCACCGAGAGCTGTGGGGCAGCAGCAGGGAAGCCCCCACCTCCGCAGCGAGCCCTCACACAGAGCACTGCCCCAGTCACAGAGAAACACTTACTTTTCACGCCTTTCCGGAACGTGTGCTGAATGTACTTCAACCCCGACACAATCTCCCTGTTGACCTGCAGGAAGAGAAGCAGGGACTGCAGAAAAAGTCTCCCAGGGACACTGCCCTCCCCACCCACAGAAGGAGACAATTCTCCCTCATCACACCACTTTTCGGGGTCCAGGCACTCCCAACACTGGGACTGCAGCAGCCCAGTGCTCCCCTCCTTCTTCAGTTTTCAGATCTGAATTCTTACCCTAAAGGAGATTTTTATCCGGTATTCCACACCCTCCTTCAGCACAAACGCTTGCTTCTTGAAGCCCTCCAGGTCACCTATAAAGAAGGAAGAGGTCAGAATCCCTTTGTACTGGGGCAAATTTAAGTTGCAAGAGGTGACCAGGACAGTGTCTGCAGTAGCAGGGGATGACCCAGGGCAAATTTATGTTGTGAGAAGTGACCAGGAGCGTGTCTGCAGTAGCAGATGACCCTTGCTGCCTGGACACGGTTCATCCATTTCATTTTTGCATGACAGCAGCCTCCTTGCTGCACTGCCCACGCTGCCCAAACGATGCCCTGTGACAGGACACTGCAGCAGAGCAATGCCATTAATTCACAAATGTTCCTTTGCAGATGTTTGCTCCGAGGCTGCCACCATCTCGACGCTGCCATCGGTGTCACTGCCACCAGCTCCCACCCCTCCAGAACCGAGTGGAAGCTCCAATTCTCCCCAGCTCACCCGTCAGGTCCAGCTCCAGCGGGCCGGGGGCAGTGGCACAGACCAGGGTCAGTTTGGTCACCACCACGTTTGGAGCATTGGGATCTAGGAGACAAAGGAAAAGGCTGTTAAACACCAGTCCCTAATACCCACCAACACAACTGCTCTTCCTTCCAGGGCACTTCTTCAAAGAGCAAGAAAACCAGCAAGAAGACCACCCCCCTCGGTGAAGGTCTGGGCTCCCCACGGTGTCAGACCCAGCCTGAAGGCTCCCCAAGAGCGTCCTCCCCAAAAGGAAGAGTGTCACCCCCCCCCTCCAAGTCCCTGGGCCTTATTCCACAGGCCAGAGATCAGCTCGGGGGGCACAGTCACAGGTCTTTATGCTCCCCACGAAGCGCAAAGAGCTGGGAAGGGAAGAGCTCCTGGTGGGAGCGGGGAGGAGGCTGGGGATGGCCGATGGAGCTCTGGCTGGAGCCACGTCCTCGGGCTCACCTGCAGTCACAGTGACAGCACCAAGCAGGGCCTCCTTGTACTTGCGCAGGCTCTCGTCATCCTTGTCCAGCTCCTGGATCTCCTGGATGCTCTTCTGGGCAGGAGGCTTGTAGTTGACGGAGTGTTCGTCCTCCTCATTTTCAGCTGCAATCTGGGCCAGCTGCTCTGCCGTTGGCTCCTGCTCTGCCATCCTCACACCCGCGACTTACTCTGAGGTGGGGAGGAGAAGGGTAACTGCCCGACCCCCCCAACTGCCAGCGCGGCTCCTCCCCAGCAGCGCAGCCCCAGCCCAACCAGGCAGCCCCAGAACTGCTCCCTGTGACCCCACACACACAGATGCCATTTAATCCCGTGGCCCACGTGAACAACTGCTTGGATTTCTCCCCGGTAATTCCCTATCAAACCCAGTCACTTGCTTTGTGCTCCCGTCCAAAACAGCCTCCAGCCTCGAAGGCTCCCAGAAGCGCTGAGCAAACACTCACTCAAGCATCCGTTCCACTGCTTGATCCCCTTATTGCACCTTTGCCTCGCCTCCAGGTGAGATTTCACCTCCCAAGCACTACAGGCTGCTCTCTCTCTGTAGGCTGAAGGATTCCTTCTAGGAACACCTGAACTCCTACGACACCTACAGCTTCCAGGGAAATGGAAGTGACGGACTTCAGTGAGAGCTTTAAAGAACTGAAGTCCCAAATTGCTGACTTCCGTTGACTCTTGAACTTTCTGCAATTGAGCCCTCTTTGAAAGCATGAATACAATAAACAAGATGCACACGCAGCAACCCACGTGCACGTCCCCAACAGCTCTGGGTGCCTTTCCTCCTGCACAGAGCTCTGCATCTCACCACCGCAGCCACAGCACCTCGGCTGCTTCTCCAAACATGCAGCCAGAGAGGAAGGAGACTCCCAATCACACCAAAACATTTCTGAGGGCCTCATGCTCCTCAGATGAAGCATTTATTGGTAAACCTGAGCTTTTCCAGGTGTATGCAAGACCAGCCATTACACCATCAGATAAAGCAAAGCCAAAGAACCTGATTGTGTGTGAACTGCCAGGAGAGAACTGCACTCGAGCATCCCATCTACACGGTGCTGAGACCTCCATCGAGTACATACCAACACACACAGGGGAGGAGACCTGCAGCACGGTCCTTCAAAGGGCTCAGCTCCCCAACAAACACTGCTGACTACCAGCCGGGTGTGGGTGCCTCCCGGGAGCTCAACACCCCAAACCTCAGGCATTGCTCCGAGGCATTGGGAAGGAAACTGCTCCTCAGCAACTTTTGAGGCTCAGGTGCTCTGCTCATCACCTTGCACAGCAGCTCTCTTGCACAGACTCTTTAGACTCAGTCCCAGAAGGCTGGAGCTGGTGCCTCCACAGCAACTGGGAAACAGCAGGAGGGGACTCTGTCACGGCTGGTGGGGCAGGGGGATCCCAGCCCCGCTCAGCCCAAAGGCAAATTACAGGAGGTGGGGTCCTCAGCCGTGGAGAGACACCTATGGAAACAGCCCTGGACACTTCTCAGACCCTCTCTGACCACAGAATCCCGCAGAAGACAGCAGGAGGCTGAACCTCTTCCCACCCAGGAATTCACTTTCATCTGCCTTCGCTGCTTCCTCAAGTCAGCCGTTTCTCCCGGATTCTCAGCATTTTTTGCACAGCACCAAGGAGCTCGCAGCAGTGAATGCAAGAGCCCCACCTTCTGCCAGACAGAAAAACTGCCAGGAACACAACCCGGCTTGTTTTCAGGCAGAGAGAGGTAAACAGCGAGTTCTTCACACTCCGGCATCAAGATCCCACGGCACTAGAGAACCCGGAGTTAGTCAGAGACTCCTCAGATCCACTAATTGGCTTCGGACGTCCGTTAGGACACAGCGCAGCCGTGGACAGGCAGCAGTGCCAATTGGAGTGGTCCCCACCCTTCCTTCTTCCCCCGCGGCGCAAGGGAAAGCTTGTGCAGCCACAGAGCAAACTCAGTTGGAATTTAATCCAGTTCACAACTGTTTCTGCAGGGCTCGTTTCCAGCCGGATCAGTTCGCTGCTCCAGTTCGCTACGAGACTAAAAAAAGCAGCCTGTGCTGCGAGGAGAGGGAAGCAGAACTGCTGAAACCGGCTCGGGCTGCGCTGCCGCTCCCCACGCACCACGGGAGGATGGATCAGAGCTAAACCGGGCTGGGATGGTTCCCAGGAAAGCAGCACGGGAGGGAGAGGAGACAAAGGAGCAACCGGTGACTCAGTGACACTTCCCGAAGCTGAGCACTGTCCTCTGGCACCACTGGGAATTCCGAGGCAAAGGAATGTCCAGATAACGCCACGGCACCACCCTGTCAGAGCATCCGAGAACTCTCACTCCCCTGATCCCTGCCACTGGCTCCCAGCTCCGGGGACGGAGACAACTCTGGAAACACTCCGCTGCCTTTCAGGGACTCGGCCGCTTGGGAGATGTAATATTCTAATTTTAATTTTTTTTGCTCATGACATAACCCTGGGCTGCAGCCGGCCTACGGGGCGCTCGCTGTCATCCAGAGCAAACCCAAACAGACGAGCAGACGGCTCCGTACACTCACACCTTCAGAAGCTTAAAAAAAATCCTTGCAGTCCCACCCCCAGGGTGCGAAGAGGCTGCAGCAGCCACCCACGCTGCAGCCACCTCGGACGCCGCCGACAGCACCCCCCAGCCCTGCGCATCCCCCCGCCCCGGGGGGAAACACCCCAAGGAAACCGTCTCCACAGGGCAGGCACGGGATGAGGATACCGGGGCTGGAGGAACGCTTGGAAAACATCTCCCTTATGAGGAGAGACTGAGAGAGCTGGGACTCTTTAGTCTGGACAAGAGAAGGCTGAGGGGAGACCTTATCAATACCTACAAGTATCTCAAGGGAGGGTTGAAGGAGGAGGGAGCCAGACTCTTTTCAGTGGTTCCCAGTGAGAGGACGAGGGGCAACGGGCACAAGTTGGAACAGAAGAGGTTCCACTCAAATATGAGGAGAAACTTCTTCACGGTGAGGGTGACAGAGCCCTGGAAGAGGCTGCCCAGGGAGGGTGTGGAGTCCCCTTCCTTGGAGATTTTCAAGACCTGCCTGGATGCTCCTGAGTAACATGCTCTAGCTCTAGGCAATCCTGCTTCAGCAGGGGAGTTGGACTAGATGATCTCTATGGTCCCTTCCAACTCTAAAATTCAGTGAAATTCAGTGAAAACCAGAGCAACAAAGCGCTTCTGGGCTAGACCCGAGACCCCCACGGTGACAATTCAGCCGCTTGGCGTGGCGGAGGCTTCTCCTCTTCTTCAGAAAAGGAAGTTTCGATTTTCAGACTTGTTGCAGGGCCTGCGGGGCCAGGGCACACCTCGCCGCCGGCGGGCAGGGCTGCAACGGGGCGGGGTGGAGGGGGGAAGGAGAACAGACCCCTCCTCCGGGACCCCCGAATGTGGCCTTCGGGCCCGGTGCCCCCCCGCTGCTTTAGCCCCCCTGCCCGCGGCGTTACGGGGGGGATCAAACGGGTTCTTTAATTCCGGTAACACGGAAGGAAACGGACCCTGAGGAAGTCGCTTCCAAGTTCCTCATTTCGTAACCAGAAACCATTTATGGCAAATCTGCCCGAGACACACCGAGCGCCCGGCACCGCCGAGGCCCCCCGGGGAGCACGACAGGTCCCCGGAGTTCCTCTTCACCGCTCCCGCAGCCGGCGGGGCGGGCCGGGAGCAGCGCCGGTTCCTCCGGGACCACGCGCCGACCCGAACCCTCCGCTTTCCCCCCCAACCGCGGCCCCCCGCCAGCACCGCTCCGCTCCGGAACGGCCCCCGCCGGGACAGCGGCGCTCCCCGCCCCCCCGGAAGGTCGCGCAAGGGCACCGGTGGGCCCCGCTCCCGCACCTCGGCCGCGCCCCGGCCCCTCCCGCGGCCCGGAGCTGGTGGGGCGCGGCGCGGCCCGGCCCGGCACCAGCGGGGCGGAGGCGCGGCCCAAACCTCCCGAACCCGCCCCGG